TGTTCTTGCACCGCGGAATCAAATTAAAATGAAACCAAATTAATTTTGTCCACACTGGGGATGGGATATTAAATACAAAACGAGAGAAACGATTATCGAAAATGATATTTCAACTTGATAGTAATTTTGTTTGCAATCGATTCAACGCAATGTGTATAGAATTATTTTATTTATTGTTAACTCGATAATTTATAACATTTTTCGTTTTAACTCTCAGTCTAAATCGTCTATTTTCGCATGCCTATCACAACGGATATTCAGGTAGCAAGGTGACTTCATTATGACGTCGTTTTAACGTCGTTATAGCGTCAAATGACGTTATCTTGCTACTTTGGGTAGGCGTATTTTTTAATTTACAATACGAGAAGAAAGAGAGAAAATAGGTGTGACTGCTATAAAAAGCGCTCGTTATTTTGCTCGATTTTTTTTGACTTTTTTTAACTTCATGATAGGCCTCACGATAGTATAATACAGTTTTCACCGACTCTTTCTCGGAGTTACAGCTAGGTAGAATCGTGCCATAACTGTACACGAACAACGCGTGGATTTCGCTCGCTTCGACGTCGAACTAACGTGCGTTGTTGAGCCTTTCCAGTTAACCGCGAGTGTGGTCTCTTTATTACTATAGTAAATTCAATTAGTATTTTTAATTCTAAAAAACTTTCTCTCTCTTTCACTTAATGTTTTTAAAATTAAAAAAACTTAGATCTCAATTACAAAAATAGTTTACACGGCAGTCTGTATATTTAACACAAACAACATTTTATTCCAACATTATAAAGAATTTATTTTACAAAGACAACAAAAAAGATAGCACGCGGTTTTTCTCTCGATGCATTTTGTTTAAATTTCTAACAGGTTGCAGCGCACGCGCGCTGCAGGTACCGAAACTGAATTTTTTCTCGACGAAGATATTTTGTTCTAAAATAACCGCCGTACAATTTGTTGTAGCGGAAGCGAATTAATAAAGAAAGAAATTTCGCTTTTAAACTCCTTCGTGCCGCGTAAAGCAATTCTCGTCTTCCACGTAAAGAAGTCTGCCCCGCCGGTGGTTTAAGAATTCAGGCCGGAAGTGCACAGGAGTCGCAGCTTTCGAAGACGATCGTAAAACGTCCCGCCAGATCTCCCGCCGTTTCCTGATCCCCACCGCCGGTATCCTTCGCCGAGTAGCTTCACCGAGGCACTAACAAGCACTCATAGTCGACGAGAAAGTCCAGCGACGCCTGTGCGCGGCAAACCTCGACGAAATGAATAATACTATAAGGTGTCTTTGCCGCGCGCGCTAGAAAATATCAGAAATAATTACGCACTGTAGAAGGACAAGTCGATACTGCATCTTTTTCGCGGAATATCATTGATTATATATATTCCGATCGTGTAAAATATAAAATTATATGTAAAACTCTCATGGACAGATCTTATATTATTCCTCTACATCGCGTGGGAAATTATTTTAATTAGAGAGATAATGTAAGAGATTCTAAATAAGGTTTCTGCTTCGTGTTCTTGACAATATTGAAACAAAATGACACAACACGTCAAACGAAATTGCCGAACACGGCGGAACGGATAATCATGCCAAATTCTAAATTATTTTCTATACTTCACGGCCGCCGTGCATGCGCGCCCCGTGTTCGAATAAGGCGTGCTTGCGTCGCCACGGCCTCGTCCAGAGAGCAAGGACATTCATTGGCCACATTTCATCCGTCGTGCTGTGACCAGCCAATCGTAAACTCGACCGGTGCTTTTCTCCGCTGACGGTTGTCGCGTCTCGTCATCGTCATCGAAGCAGGAACCTGCTCGTACACAGATTTCGCGCCGTATTGCGCGCACATATCTCTCTTATATTCATACGCGCGTATATATACAATTATATCTCGGACTCGGGTCGCGCGATGCGTGGCCAGAGCGTGGATTCGATTCGAGCGGCAAACGCGCGAGCTGTTTCCGCGCTCGGCAACGTCCGCGCATTCTCGCGCCGCGTTGCGCCGACCAGTTAAAAGTCGCCTCCACGTCGTTTGGTATACGACTTGGCCGCTCTCGCTCCGTGGCGTCAGCAGCGGTTAACAACAACCGGACACGTCGCCGACACGGCATCGTCGTCGGCAGAGAATCCCAGCGCGCGCGCATTATCTCCTGCGTTTGAAGCAGAATTTCATTTCGATCTCATGCGGTTCTATATTTATAAGTTGCATCGCTGAAGGTTTTCCGCAGCGGAAACATAACTTCGATCAGTTTTGAGACACTTCGCAATGTCCAATAATGCGACTTACAAAAGTCAGATTATCAATCAAAGCTTTGTTTTGCGACATTTTTGAGTCTGGTTTCAAAATTTTCCACGAGCGAACTACGTATCACCTTCGGAACGTTATGTCTCGATATAGCCTCGACTAATAATCTATTTGAAACTCGCAGTACTGTCGCATTAAATATAAGTTTCGTAAAGTTTTTTTTATTTTAATGAGAAAACATGAAAGAGAGGAAGAACAATTTGTAATCTACATATGTATGCATATCTACATCAGCGCAGGAGAAAAAATTTTCCACGCAGCTTAATAATAACTTAAAGAAGCGCGCCTGTATATGCGCACGTTTATATCGCCGCGACTATACGCCAAAAATATACAGCGACGTTCCTCGCGGCCCCCGCACGCCGACGTTACCATCATCGCCGTCGTCATCGCCGTCGTCGGCGCCTCCGAAGAGAAACCGACGCGCTGATCGGAGTCGCGTCGTCGGCACGCTCTTCTCTTCGGTCTCCACCGAGAGACCTCGGAGAGTCGCGCGGCGCTCTGCCTCGCGGCTGCATACGGAATGACGCGCAAAATTCGCGGAATTGGCCGTCGCGGGGAGGTCAGCCGATCGTCGAACGACGGCGCACGTCCGACGGCGTCCTTTCGCCGTCGCGACGTCCCGATGACGCGCCCCTTTTACCCGATAGGGAATAAAAATGTTCCCGGTGAATTTTCTTAGGCTGCTTGCCGTATGGTACGTGGCTCGCGCGCGTTGTCTAACCCGCGCCCGCCGCCCGTCGCTGCTGCTGGCTGGCTGGCTGGCTTCACTGGCTTGGCTGCGCGAGCGAGCGAGCGAGCGAGCGACAGCCGTGGAAACCTCCTCTCTCGGTGACTCTTAGGCTGCGCGCCGTATGCACACAGCACAGCCAGTCAGTGGCGAGTTTCGAACCTAGTGGCGTTAGGCTGACTCCCTCGTACTTCTCGGGGCCCCTGCACGAGAGACCGGAGGTTCCCCGGTGAAGGCTGCCGCTCGACGCTCTCGACGCGCGCCCCGAACCTTCAAGAGAACTTCTACGCTGTGTGCGTTTGAGGCCGCATGAAAATTTACTTACTACGCGTTCACGTAGTTTCTTCGCTCCCGCGATTTCCTTTTTTCCTCCCTCTTTCGTTTCTCTTTTCGTTCTTTCTTCCTCTCTTTTTTTACACACATATTTATGCATATACGATATATACGATAGATGATTTTTTTTTAACATATTGAATAGTTCGTACGATGAAGAAAAATTAAAAAAAAAAATTAAAAAAAAAAAAAAATTCTCCTTTGGAATAACTTACTGTTCCTCTAGTCCACGTTGTGTAATAATATAAATCTGTTTTTTTTTTTTTTTTTTTTTTTTTTTTTTTTATTAATAGCGTCGATAAATACGACACGACGCGCAGAA